GCAGCATTGGAAAGACCACCGGCGGTCGTTCGGGAACAACACGCGGGAGGTGCGGCTCGGGTTCAGCTACCCTTGCCACGCGTCCGACTCGGGGTCGAGGTCAGGGTCGTCGGAGCAGGGCATGGCGGAGGTGTACGAGCTGGATATCACGTTCCGGGGGTACTACCACAAGGAGTCGCAGCAGCAGCGCAGGTATAGGAACAGTGCGCTGTCGTATGCGATCGGGAGCGTGTCGGGGGGCGGCCAGGCCAAGAGCCACTACTAGGGCGGTTGGCCTGGGCGGGTTAGGTGACGCGCTGCAAGGCGAGATTGTACGAGTATCCATGCACAACTACGCGTTGTGCAGATACCACGTTCTGGTGTAACCGTATCGATTGTGGCATACTGCGGGAGACATCCATCGGACCTGTTGTACTGTTGTTATACTTACACGTCCCTTGCTACTCTTGAGTGTACGAGGAATCAATGACGGATATTAGCTCGAAGGTTTTATAATACTTATACTGTATACGCCGGTGGTCTACATCCGGTCAGACCAGACCAGAACATCTTGTCCTAGATCGACTGAGGGAATCCGGCCCCCTGATCTTATCGGCCGTACCCGGTTCATCTCCGCTGCATGGACAATTGACAGAAGACGGAGATCGGCATGCTGCATTCATTCAGCAGTCCGCGCGACTGCGGCGCACGTTGAACGAGGTATCGTGCTGCACGTTTTCGACGCATGGGGGCCTTTTCGTGTCGAAATGTCCATGCATTGCATCTGAGACGCACTGGGGGCTGGGATTGCATTGATGAGGAGGCCGAGCGCGATAGAGGGGTATGAAGGGGGTGGCAACGAACAGATCTTGTGGTGAGTTGAGCGGCGATCAGCGAGGAGCAGTGGGGGGCGGTGAGTCTGAGTTCTTGTATGACTGCCATATCCAGCAGCAGAACAGCGCCTCATCGCATCGATCACTCGCCCCGCGCCTGATCCTCGCTCGGGCTCCCAACCAGCCCCGTTCTCGCGTACATATACCCGGCTCACCGCCCGTCCTGCCCATACCCCCCCTCCAGCCCTCGACACCGCCGCACTCAGCCCGACGATGCAGCGCCACTCGTTCACCGCCCTCAACTCCACCTTCATCGTCGACTCCGAGTACCAGTTCGTCAAGGAGCTCGGCCAGGGCGCATACGGCTGCGTCGTCGCCGCCAAACATCGCAGGTCCGGCGAGGGCTGCGCCATTAAGAAGATTACAAACATCAACACAAAGGTACGCACCCGTCTGCCCATTCTGCATGCACTCACCCTCACCGATCACTTCGCCCGGCAGAGGATCCTGACCAAGAGATGTCTGCGCGAGATCAAGTGCGCGCCGTCCCCGCCCTGGTGCCCCAGGCCGTAAGCTGACTTCCTCCCCAGGCTCCTCCACCACTTCCGTGGTCACAAAAACGTACGTCGATCGTACGCGCTCCCGCGCCGCGTATATCTAACGTACCCGCGTTCCTAGATCACTTGTTTGTACGATATGGACATTGTCTTCCACCCCGACGGCAACTTTGACGAAGTCTACCTCTACGTAAGAGGCGCTCTTCTGCCTCTTACCCCGCAAGATGCTCATCTCGCTTGCAGGAAGAGCTCATGGAGGCCGATCTCCATGCCATCATCCGCTCCCAGCAGCCGCTCTCCGACGCCCACTTCCAGTCCTTCATCTACCAGACCCTCTGCGGCCTCAAATACATCCACTCCGCCAACGTTCTCCACCGCGACCTCAAGCCCGGCAACCTCCTCGTCAACGCCGACTGCGAGCTCAAGATCTGCGACTTCGGCCTCGCCCGCGGCTACAGCCCCGGCAGCGGAAACAACCAGACCCGCGGCGCAGCCAACCAGGGCTTCATGACCGAATACGTCGCCACGCGCTGGTACCGCGCTCCCGAGATCATGCTCAGCTTCGCCAACTACGTAAGGCTGCTGCCCCTCGCTGAGCGCACATTGTTGCCCCACACTGACATCGCATCCAGGGTCCGGCAATCGACGTGTGGTCCGTCGGCTGTATCCTCGCAGAGCTCCTTGCGGGGAAGCCGATCTTCAAGGGCCGAGAGTACGTTCGATCCCCATCCAAGTTATCACGACACTCATTGTCGATCCCACTAGCTACGTCGATCAGCTCAACCAGATCCTGCACTATCTCGGTACCCCCTCAGAGGACACGCTGCGTCGCGTCGGTTCGCCTCGTGTACGTCCTCATCTCATTCGCGTGTCGGCCATAACTGACGCCCTCGGATCCCAGGCGCAAGACTACATCCGCTCTCTCCCCATCCGGCCCCGGGTCCCCTTCTCGACGCTCTTCCCGCGCGCGAACCCGCTCGCGATCGACCTGCTCTCGCAGCTCCTCCACTTTGACCCCGCGAAGCGCATCACGTGCGAGCAGGCGCTGAACCACCCCTACCTCGCCGTCTGGCACGACCCCGCCGACGAGCCCACCTGCGCCTCTGTAAGCATAGAACGCACGCCGCTTACCGGCTTTGAGCGCATGCTGACCGTGCTGTGTAGTCCTTCGACTTCGGGTTCGAAGAGGAGGACTCGATCGAGGGCATGAAGCGCCTTATCGTCGAGGAGGTTCATGCTTTCCGCGCCGAGGTGCGCGCACAGGCTCGCGCCGCTGGCCAGATTCGCCGGCAAGATAGGTACGCCTCGTTCTGCCTTCCTACTTCCCTTATCCTGCCCTGCTTAGTCGTAATGATTGACAATGGTTCTTGTGACGCAGCCTGCCGATGCCCTCGCGCGACGAGATCCTGAACTCGCCCGTGGCGGACCAAGCCCCGCCGAACGGCGCGACATCCAACTACACCGGTGCGGCAGGCGAGGCGCGTCCCGGGAGCCCGATCCTCGACGACCCCAGCGCCGAGCTCGAGCGTGAGCTCGCGAACGCGCACATCGCGCGGAGATAATCAGCGCCTCGTCGCAGGTAATATATACACGGGGCACTTGGCGAAAGGACGGACGGAAGCGAGCATCACAAGAGAAGTTGTGCGATAATGTGGCGTGTACGCTGGGATTCGGCGCGGGGGAGTTTTGCGTGATTTATTTCTTGTTGTGTGTACACATGTCGCTGTGCTGCCTGATCTACTGTGTAGACGTGTTACCCCTCGCTAACTTATTGATTCACGATCTTGACCTTTTTACTTTGTACAGTGGCTTGAACCTGCATCCAAAGACAAGATGGCTTGGCGCAACGTTCGGTAGCCTCGTGTTTTCAGCGCCTTCAGGCTTCCAGCCCCCACGGCGGCGATTCGTTAGGCACCTTGAGGAGGACCAGCCTGTCTACGCAATCCGCGCCTACTAAACGGATCTGGCCCTCTCAATCGAGCCTATGTAGCACAACCACGAGTGTACCGACAGTACTGTGCAACTCTCTCGCGAGTCTCCGGTCTCGGGCCGCAAACTCTCACCGACAATGCACTATACATGAACTGTATATAGACACCTATTGTCGGCACTCCGCGCGACGCCTCCTATTCATGTCGACGGTCCGCGGCAAGGTCAGCTGGGGTACAGAAGAGCGGTCCGGAGGGATGATTTGTTCCGCTGAACCTGATAGTGCAGACATACATATATCTTGCACTGCACTCCGTTCGTCATCCTCTCGCGCCCACTGTGCGTGGATAGCACTACCGCACACGCCCCTCGTCGTCGCGAAACAGTAGCAATGGCGGCTGATATTCCCAGCTTCACGCTCAACACAGGCTACAAGATGCCCTCGGTCGGGATTGGGTGAGTGTATATTGGACCCGCGCCCTGCATGGGTACGGTGTATCTTCATACGGTGCGCACTGCAGGTGCTGGATGGGCTCACCCGGCGGCGGAGAAGTAGTTGAGCGGATGTGCAAGGACGCACTCGCGGTTCGTCGATGCTTTGTCCTCCGATAGCCCGACACTTCTGACCACCCGGTTTTCAGGCTGGATACAGACACATCGACACGGTACGCGACGCCGGACATCAGTATCGGATGCCGTCATGCTGACCCCTAACACCAGGCTTACGGGTACGCCAACGAGGAGTTCGTCGGAAAAGCCATCCGCGAATCCGGCGTGCCGCGTTCAGAAATCTTCCTGACGACAAAGCTGCCGAACCACCACCACCACAAGGTCGCGGCCTCGTTCGAGGAGTCGCTCGCGAAACTCGGGGAGGGGATCGACTATGTTGACCTCTACCTGATGCACTGGCCGCAGGCGTTCACGGAGGACAACAAACCTATCCCACATGGGGAGAGCCCGACGTACGTCGAGACGTGGCGCGCGATGGAGGCGCTGCTGGGCACGGGCAAGGTGCGCTCGATTGGGGTGTCCAACTTTTCGGTGAAGCTGTTGGAGGTGCTTCTGAGGGAGACGACGGTCGTGCCGGCGACGAACCAGGTGGAGTGTCACCCGTGTCTGCCGTCGTTCGAGCTGAAGGCGTGGTGCGAGGAGAAGGGTATCGTGATCACGGCGTATTCGCCATTGGGTAAGGCTACGATGAGCACTATGATCTGGAAGTTGAGACTGATGAAGTTTCGGCTGAAGGACGCCCGAAAGAGTACGATGGAAAGCCGGTGTTTCTCAACAACCCGGACGTTGTGAGCATCGCGGAGAAGCACGACGCTACGCCCGGTCAAGTCGCGTTGAGTTGGGGCGTGAAGCGCGGGACGGCGGTGATTCCGAAGAGCGAGAACCCGGAGCGAATCAAGCAAAATATTCAGGCACGTGGCTTGTTGTTATTGTGCTATACGGCCGATACTGACTGGTGAGTGGCAGCTGGTCGATCTGACGAAGGAGGATATGGAGACACTGGACGGGATCCACAAGAAACCGGGCCTGCACCGGTCGCTGCTCCGCTACCACGAGTATGCGTCGGATGGGACTGTGCTTGGGTGGACGTACGAACAGCTGGGCTGGAACATGACCAAAGGCGGGATTGTGCGCACCGAGTAGTTTGTTCAATGTACGATGGTCGTGGTGGATGGAAAAAGAGAAGGGGAGGAGGTCCTGCCAGGGTTCGAACCTGGGTTTTGGGAAGAACCGGGACCGCCAACCGACCGGGATCAGGGGCCAGCCGGCGGACTCGTTCAAAATCCCAAGTGATAAACCACTACACTACAGGACCCGCGCACGCATCGACCGCTGTGTTCCCCGTGCGCTCACGAAGCGTCTCTTGTGCACCGGGTATAGGGCTTGGATCCATTGAACTCGCATGTAGGTACAGTATAGTACAGCCGGCCCTACCGCAGCGTATTACCGAAGACTATGTGACGACGAAGACCGAGTGGTCGTGGTGTCGCATACAATCACAGACAATCATTACTTCCACGGTCGAACACTTAGGAGGCCGGGCGTTCAGAGTTCAGCGTTCAAAACGTCGAACGCACAAGCGATGTCGCAGGTGACTACCTGGCCCGACGACTTGTACCTCAGTAGGGAAGCCACGTTGATTATGCAGCCAGCTGTCGTGGGTGCGGCATGAGGTCGTATGAAAATTTTATGATCAGCAAGCCCAGGGGAACGATTAAGAAGAGAAAGGCTCACAAGGAGCGCTCGTAAATCACGTCTGCGTAGGATGCTCCAAGATGTCGGTGACAACTTCCTCGATCTTTGAGAAGCCCCTAGTGAGTGGAATACCCGTCTCCTATTCTCCTGTGAGGAAGTCGGGAGAGAATACACGGGCGGTCACCTTCAACGACTAGGTGTCACTAGCGTCGACACGATGGACGCGCACAAGTCCAAAGGAGAGGAAAGGGGCATTCGTCGAGCAGTAATGCGATTCTGTCGTACATATGAATACTAGCACGATACCGCAGTTCCGGCTTGCTCATGCGCCCGACCGTCATCCTCGATTTCGACGAGAAGGATCGCTCTGCTGGTGTTGCACAACCTAGGCCTAAGACGATGACATGAACGGCATTCGGCTGTCGTCTCTGGGTGAGCGTTGGACTTGGGGAAATAACATGGAGTGTGAATGCGCCCCCTGAAGCAGTAGTTCAGCAGTTGAAGAAAGCATGCATGTCGCCTGTAGACTCCATATGTCCATACCGCGAGCGGATGCAGCCAGAGATTGAGACTGAAAGCCAAGTAGTACCTGGGCGCGGCTGCTAACCCTAACCCGAGAGTAGCAGGAGGCGCAGCGCTGGGCGGGACTGCGAGAGTTGGAGGCGGGGCACGGCGACTGCGTCTTGCACTCTTTCCTCACCGTCTTCCCCTTCGAGCTCATCGCTGGCTACGATGAGCGACGACTTTGTTCGTCTCGTCTCTCAGGCCAACCCTGCTTCCAGGCAGCAGTACCAGCCTGCAAACACCGGCTACCCTCCCTCCTCCTCTCCTCCACACGCTCTCGACCCCTTCTTCGATGACGACGACGACGTGCCTGACTCTGCCTTTGGCCGCCCCCCGGCGATGCAGTCCAAGGAGAGCGGCCTCCCCCTCGCACGCTCAGGCGCGCCCCCAGCTGGTCACTCCCAACTTAGCCTACCGACGACGATCCAACCCGACTCTTGGTCTTTCGACGACGACCAGCCGCCCGGTTCGAAACCCTTCCAAGGCTCCGCGTCCTTCCCCGGATCCTCGGGCTCTGCCTCGGCCAAACACCAGCGCAAGCCGTCCAAGTCGCTCAAGCAGCGCCTGAGCGGCATCAGCTGGCCCTGGCAGCGCAAGGAGAAGGTCCTCACCGGCAACCGGGTCATCGCCCTCAACAACCCAGACGCGAACTCGGACTTCTGCAACAACTACGTCTCCACCAGCAAGTACAACCTTGCTACCTTCGTCCCCAAGTTCCTCTTCGGTGCGTCGCCTTTCTCGCCTCGCACTCGCCTCCTCCACGCGCGCGCCCGCATGCACGCTCACCCGTGTCTCACTCACTCCAGAGCAATTCTCGAAATACGCCAACCTGTTCTTCCTCTTCACCGCGCTCATACAGCAGATACCCGACGTCTCTCCCACGAACCGCTACACGACCATTGCCCCTCTATCTGTTGTACTATTAGCGTCCGCGTTCAAGGAGACTCAGGAGGACTTGGTGAGTGCCCCTTTCAATCATCCTCATGCGTCCTTCCTTGCTCTCGCTGGCGCGCTCGGTTACCGCTACCTCTGCAACCCTAACGAGGCCGCCAGCTGCTCGTTTACGCAATTCGCGTATGCACGGCGCGCTCGCCTCCCCGGCGTACCCGGCTTGATCCAAGGGAGACTCCCCTTCCGTTGTATTGCTACACAGCCCGTCAGAGTCTCGCGCAGTCGCGCCGGACACGTCTCCCCGCGGACAGTTACATCTATCTATCAACTACGCCCAGGCACCGTATATCCGCACCCTATGTACTAACCCGAACCCCCTGATGCCAGAAACGGCACCAATCCGACTCCGAGCTCAACTCGCGAAAGGCAAAGGTGCTTGGTCCGGATGGCACATTCGTCGAGAAGAAGTGGAAGGACATCGCCGTCGGCGACGTCCTCCGTCTCGAGAGCGACGACTTCATCCCCGCCGACGTTGTCCTCCTCAGCTCGAGCGAGCCCGAGGGCTTCTGCTACATTGAGACCTCCAACCTTGACGGGTAGGTGGGTTGCGTCCCTTAAACACGACTTGACACCCTGACCGGCGAGACTAGCGAGACGAACTTGAAGATCAAGCAAGCCTCGCCGCAGACGGCCAACCTGACGTCCCCGCAGCTCGTCACGACGCTGCATGGGAACCTGCGCTCGGAGCACCCGAATAACTCGCTGTATACGTACGAGGGCACACTCGAATTGATCACCAGCGGAGGCGTACCAAAGCAGGTTCCCCTCGGCCCCGATCAGCTGCTACTCCGCGGCGCGCAGATCAGGAACACGCCCTGGGCGTACGGATTGGTGGTGTTTACTGGACACGAGACGAAGCTGATGCGGAACGCGACGTGAGTTTGTTATATCCGGTTGGGTACGGCCTGGCTGACGGCGAGACAGCGCTGCGCCCATCAAGAGGACAGCGGTTGAGCGTCAGGTGAACGTGCACATTGTATTCCTCTTCATCTTCCTCCTCGCCTTGTCCATCGGCTCGACAATTGGTAGCAGCATCCGCACGGTTAGTGATGCAGGTTTTGTGCGAGAACCACGTATTGATGCCCCCCACAGTGGTTCTTCTCCAGTAAACAATGGTACCTCCTCGAGCAATCATCAATATCAGGCAGAGGTACGGTCGTTGCTCACATTAAAAGAGTGTACGCTGATAACGCAACCAGCCAAGGGCTTCATCGAGGGTCCGTACACCAGAATCGCTTCCCACAGAGTGTCGCTCACGGTCCTCCAGACATCCTCACTTTCATCATCCTCTATAACAACCTGATCCCGATCTCGCTCATCGTCACAATGGAAGTCGTCAAGTTCCAACAGGCACAGCTGATCAACTCGGACCTGGACATGTACTACGCTAAGACGGACACGCCCGCGCTCTGCCGCACGTCCTCGCTCGTCGAGGAGCTCGGGCAGATCGAGTACGTGTTCAGCGACAAGACCGGTACGCTCACGCGCAACGAGATGGAGTTCCGCTTCTGCTCGATCGGCGGCGTCGCCTACGCCGACGTCGTCGACGAGAGCCGCCGCGGCGACGGGGACGACGACAAGGAGGCTTGGCGTTCGTTTGACGACCTCCGTGCACTTGTGGGTGGGGCGCAGAATCCGTTTGTGGACGTCGCGGCGGACGGGGGGCCGAAGGGCACTGAGCGCGAGGTCGCGAATGAGTTCTTGACACTCCTTGCGGTGTGCCATACGGTCATTCCTGAGGTACGGGACGGTAAGATGCACTACCAGGCGAGCAGTCCAGACGAGGCTGCCCTCGTCGCTGGCGCGGAGATCCTTGGGTACCAGTTCCACGTGGGTGATCTTCCAGCCAACCTCACAACCGTCCGGTCGCGCTGACGATCCGTGCTTCCAGACGCGGAAGCCGAAGTCGGTGTTTGTAAACATGCACGGAACGTCACAGGAGTTCGAGATTCTGAACGTGTGTGAGTTCAACTCGACCCGGAAGCGGATGTCGACCGTCGTGCGCTGCCCGGACGGGAAGATCAAGCTGTTCTGCAAGGGCGCGGACACGGTTATCCTCGAGCGCCTCAGCGAGAACCAGCCGTTCACGGAGAAGACGCTGCTCCACCTCGAGGTGCGCCCCCCTTCCTAGCTCCCTCTCGATGTAAATGCGAGGCCACACAGCGATTAACATTTGGCGGATGCGCACGGTAGGACTACGCGACAGACGGCCTGCGGACGCTTTGCATCGCCTGCCGGGACATCCCCGAGGCAGAGTACAGGCAGTGGGTGACAATCTACGACCAGGCAGCTGCGACGATCAATGGGCGCGGCGAGGCGCTGGACAAAGCTGCGGAGCTCATCGAGCGCGATATGTTCCTCCTCGGGGCGACTGCTATCGAGGATAAGCTGCAGGAGGGCGTGCCCGATACGATTCATACGCTGCAGATGGCTGGCATCAAGGTGCGTTCTGGCCTTCGTGGTGTTGGGCAGGAGAGTGTTGACGGTGGATGGTGCAGGTTTGGGTCCTCACTGGCGACAGGCAGGAGACCGCGATCAACATCGGCATGTCTTGCAGGCTCATCTCGGAGTCAATGAACTTGGTGCGTGTGCGAGTACCTCCCGTTCACTCCACGAGGCTGACACATCGGTCCTTGTAGGTCATCGTTAACGAGGAAACGGCACATGAGACGGAAGAGTTCCTCACGAAGCGACTGAATGCGATTAAGAGTCAACGAAATTCCGGGGACCAAGAAGACCTCGCGCTCGTCATCGGTCAGCCGTCTGCATTCTGTGTCCGAACCAATTCTGACGGGATTCGTTGTTAAGACGGCAAGAGCCTGACCTTTGCATTGGAGAAGGAGATCTCGAAGATCTTCCTCGAACTTGCCATCCTGTGCAAGGCCGTCATCTGCTGTAAGTCTTGCGATGCACCCGCTGACTCGACTTCTGCTCACACACGCATCGGAATAGGTCGTGTCTCCCCTCTGCAGAAAGCTCTCGTCGTCAAACTCGTCAAGAAGAACCAAAAATCCATCTTGCTCGCCATCGGCGACGGCGCAAACGACGTCAGTATGATTCAGGCTGCGCACGTCGGCGTCGGTATCTCTGGTGTGGAGGGTCTGC